AGGTGGATAGGGTCCTGGTTAGTGAGGGGATGGAGGGTTACAGGGAGAAGGCAGGAGAATGGGGTTGAGAAACATAACATGATCAAATGGTGGAGCAGATTCAATGGGCTGAATGGCCTGATTCTGCTCCTGTTTCTGACTGTCCCTGCCCATATCCCAAGAATTGAATCAAACTGGAGAGTAGTTTGAGACAGAGCTGAACCTATGTTGCTGGATACAGTGGTGGATTTGATTGCTCTAACCCATTGATCAGAGCATTGAGCAGCGTGTACTGTCGCCTAGCCTGTATCTCGGTGGTTTAGTAGAGCCAGGCATAACCTGATTGCAGTCCAGTGCTCCAAGAGGCCATCTGACCCATAGCCCCTGCGTTCGCTCTTAAAAGAAATTATCCAGTTGCTCCCACTCTCCTTGCTAACTCCTTATCTACTCAATCAAAACACTTCATAAGTTTGAACACCTCAATAAGATCTCATCTTCACCCCCTCAGCTCCATGAAGAACAATCCCAGCTTCTCCAGTCTCCCCACATGCACTGAATTCCCTAAGCCCTCTGCACATTTCCCTGAGGCAGTGCTGTGACAGGGAGAAACTACTTCCTGAAAGGCAGCGGGGGAGGGGGTAGGTGGGTTCCGTAGGGTGTGTCAGGCTGTTCAGGGGTAACGTCAGGAAACACTTCATCACACAAAGGGGAGTGGGAATCTGGAACTGTCCTCAAGCTCGACTCGGGGGAGCTGAAGCTCTCAGACTGAGATGGATAAATTCCTGTCGCTAAAGATAATTGAGGGAAACAAAGTAATGTCATGTGAATGCAGTTGGGATACAGATCAGCTGTGATCTGATTGAATGGTGCAAACCACTCAAGGGGCTGAATGGCCTCCTCCTGTCCCCACGTAGACTGGCGAGATCTCAAACCTGAAAAGCCGGATCCTCGTTTGGTCTGCTGGTCTCACAGAGAGTCCTCAGGCCTTGGTGTGTGATCTGATTGGAGGAGAGGTCCAGTACGGTCAGGTTGGGCATGGTCACCAGGCAGGCCACCAGCTCCTCCATGGCATCGTCACCAAGAGGATTGGCAGAGAGGCAGAGCTGGTGGGTAGTGGTGTGCAGTTTGAGGGCCCGCAGGATGGGGGTCAGGTGCTCCTTGGTCAGCGACAGGCTGGATAAGTCCACAGAGGAGCCTTTCTCCTGTAGCTGGAGAATCTTGAAAATGGATGGGTATGTAGCTGCAAGCATAGAGACACAACAAGATTATTACAGCAACTGATAACGCCCTGTCTTCATAGAAAATCCAATTATGGCACATCCCTGTTGCAACTGTTTATCCTAACTGCCCCAGAGCAGAGTGTCTCACTCACCCAGTTCAAAGGACAGATAGGAATCGACCACATTGCCGTGGGTCTGGAGTCACATGTAGGCCAGACCAGGTAAGGATGGCAGATTCCTTCCCCAAAACGGCATTAGTGAACCAGATGGGTTTTTACAATTGATGATAACTCCCTGGTCTCCATCACTGAGACTTGCTTTCAATTCCAGATTTGGAGTCAGTCATGCAGCCCAGAAACGGATCCTTTGGTCCTACCCGTCCATACCAACTGGATATCCAAAAGTGATCTAGTCCCATTTGCCAGCATTTGGCCCATATCCCTCTAAATCCTTCTTATTCAAATACCTATCCAGGTGCCTTTTAAATGTTGTAATTGTACCAGCCTCCACCACTTCCTCTGGCAGCTCATTCCATACACACACCACCCTCTGCATGAAAAAGTTGCCCCTTAGGTCCCTTTTAAATCTTTCCGCTCTCACCTTACACCTATGCCCTCTAGTTTTTGGACTCTCCCACCCTGGGGAAAAGATCTTGACTATTTACCCTGTCCATGCCCCTCATTGATTGGTTCAAAGCTGGTGGAAATTCAGTGTGCCCAAACGGTAGCCTGGAGCTCTGGATAATGGTGGCTGGATGGTATTGTTGCTAGACCAGAGACCCAGGTAATGTTCTAACAGGTTCAAATCCTGCCAAGGTAGATGGTGGAATTTGAATTCAGTAAAATTCTAGAATTCAACACATAATGATGACCATGAAACCAGTGACACGAGTTATAAAAGTCCATCTGGTTCACTATTGCCCTTTAGGGAAGGAAACTGCCATCCTTACTTGTTCTGGCCTACATGTGACTCCAGACCCACAGCAATGTGGTTGACTCCTTTCTGCCCTCTGAAATGGTCAAGTGAGACACTCAAGTGAACTGAACCCTTAAGAAACCTCAAAAAGGAATGAAACAGACAGGCAACCTGGCATCATTGAAAAAGCACTGTAAAGTCCTCCTCACTAACATCTGGGGGTTAGTGCCAACATTGGGAGAGCTGTCTCACAGACTAGTCAAGTAACAGCCTGACACAGTCATACTCACAGAATCGTACCTTACAGACAATGTCCCACACACCACCATCACCATCCCTGTATATGTCCTGTCCCACCGGCAGGACAGACCCAGCAGAGGGGGCAGCACAGTGGGATACAGTCGGGAGGGAGTTACTCTGGGAGTCCTCAACATTGACTCCGGACCCCGTGAAGTCTCATGGCTTCAGGTTAAACATGGTTGGGTCCTACAGGACATAGCTGCTAGACTGGGTCTGCGGCAGGTGATGAGGGAACCAACAAGAGGGAAAAACATACTTGACCTCATCCCCACCAATCTGCCAACTGCAGATGTATCTGTCCATGACAGTATTGGTAAGAGTGACCATCGCACAGTCCTTGTGGAGACGAGGTTCTGCCTTCACATTGAGAACAACCTCCATTGTGTTGGGTGACACTATCACCGTGCTAAATGGGACAGACTTCGCACAGATCTAGCAACTGAAGACTGGACATCCATGAGGCGCTGTGGACCATCAACAGTAGCAGAATTGTACTCCAGCACAATCTGTAACCTCATGGCCCGGTATATCCCCCCCTCAACCATTACCATCAAGCCAGGGGACCAACCCTGGTTCAATGGAGAGTGCAGGAGGGCATGCCAGGAGCAGCACCAGGCATACCTGAAGAGGAGGTATCAACCTGGTGAAGCCACCAAACAGGAATAGTTGCACACCAAACAGTGAAAGCAGTAAGTGATAGACAGAGCTAAGCAATCCCACAACCAATGGATCAGATCTAAGCTCTGCAGTCCTGCCACACCCAGTCGTGAATGGTGGTGGACAATTAAACAACTCACTGGAGGAGGAGGCTCCACAAATATCCCCATCCTCAATGATGGAAGAGCCCAGCACATCAGGGCAAAAGATAAGGCGAAGCATTCGCAGCAATCTTCACCAGAAGTGCCGAATGGATGATCCATCTCAGCCTCCTCCAGTTGTCCCCAGCATCACAGATACCAGTCTTCAGCCAATTCAATTCACTCCACACTCATGTCAAGAAACAGTTGGAGACACTGGATACTGCAAAGGCTACAAGCCCTGACAACATTCCGGCAATAGTACTGAAGACTTGTGCTCCAGAACTTGCCGCTCCCTTAGGCAAGCTGTTCCAGTACAGTTACAACACTGGTATCCACCTGACAATATGGAATTGCCCAAGTATGTCCTGTACACAAAAAGCAGGACAAATCCAATGCAACCAATTACCGCCCCATCAGTCTCCTCTCGATCATCAGTAAAGTGATGGAAGGTGTCAGTAACAGTGCTATCAAGCAGCACCTGCTCAGCAATAACCTGCTCAGTGATGCCCAGTTTGGGTTCCGCCAGGGCCACTCAGCTCCTGATCTCATTACAGCCTTGGTTCAAACATGGACAAAAGAGCTGAATTCCAGAGGTGAGGTGAGAGTGACAGCCCTTGACATCAAGGCTGCATTCGACCAAGTGTGGCATCAAGGAGCCCGAGCAAAACTGGAATCGGTGGGTATCAGGGGGCAAACTCCCCAGTGGTTGGAGTCAGACCTGACACATAGGAAGATGGTTGTGGTTGTTGGAGGTCAATCATCTCAGCTCCAGGACGTCTCTGCAGGAATACCTCAAGGTAGTGCCCTCGGCCCAACCATCTTCAGCTGCTTCACCAATGACCTTCCCTCCATCATAAGGTCAGAATTGGGGATGTTCGCCAATCATTACACAATGTTCAGCACCATTCGTGACTCCTCAGATACTGAAGCAGTCCATGTTCAAATGCAACAAGATCTGGACAATAACAGAAGTTGCTGGAAAAGCTCAGCAGGTCTAGCAGCATCTGTGAGAAAATATTCAGAGTTAACGATTTAGTTCCAATGACCCTTCCTCAGAACGTTCTGAGGAAGGGTCACTGGACCTGAAACATTAACTCTGATTTGTTCTTCACAGATGCTGCCAGACCTGCTGAGCTTTTCCAGCAACTTCTGTTATTGTTCCTGATTTACAGCATCCACAGTTCTTTTGGTTTTTATGATCTGGACAATATCCAGGCTGACAAGTGGCAAGTAACATTTGTGCCACACAAATGCCAGGCAATGACCATCACCAATAAGAGACAATCTAACCACCGTCCCTTCACATTCAGTTGTGTTACAATCACTGAATTCCTCCACTATCAACATCCCAGGGATTACCATTGACCAGAAACAGAACTGAACAAGTTATATGAATGCACTGACTACAACAGCAGGCCAGAAGCTGGGAATACTGTGGCGAGTAACTCACCTCCTGACTTCTCAAAGCCTGTCCCACCATCTACAAGGCACAAGTCAGGAGTGTGATGGGATACTCCCCACTTGCCTGGATGGGTGTAGCCCCAACAACACTCAAGAAGCTTGACACCATCCAGGACAAAGCAGCCGCTTGATTGACACCACATCCACAAGTATCCATTCCCTCTACTACCGACGCTCAGTAGCAGCAGTGTGTACCGTCTACAAGATGCCCTGCGGAAATTCACCAAAGATCCTCAGACAGCACCTTCCAAACCCACAACCACTTCCATCTAGAAGGACAAGGGCAGCAGATACATGGGAACACCACCCCCTACAAGTTCCCCTCCAAGTCACTCACCATCCTGACTTGGAAATATCTCGCCGTTCCTTCACTGTCGCTGGATCAAAATCCTGGAATTCCCTCCCCAAGGGCATTGTGGGTCAACCTACAGCACATGGACTGCAGCGGTTCAAGAAGGCAGCTCACCCCCACCTTCTCAAGGGGCAACTAGGGACGGGCAATAAATGCTGGGCCCAGCCAGTGATGCCAACATCCCATGAATAATAAAAATAAACCATCAGCCATTTCTGAAGAAGGGTCTAGGCCCGAAACGTCAGCTTTCCTGCTCCTCTGATGCTGCTTGGCCTGCTGTGTTCATCCAGCTCTACACCTTGTTATCTCAGACTCTCCAGCATCAGCAGTTCCTACTATCTCTCAGCACTACAACACCATCTCCTTTTCAGACACGTACTTAAATCGATCTACAAACCGTTGATACATTTGAGGGAGGTAGATCTAAGGGGTAGGTTTGTGGCAGGTTTGGAAAGTGCTATTGAAGGAGCCTTGGGGAGTTGCTGCAGTACATCTTGTGGATGGTACACACAGATTTCTCAGACCCTCTGCATTCTCCTGTGGATAAAATGTTATTTTTATTGTCCAGTGAATCTCTTTCCTTACTTTGTGCCAGACTGTCACAGGCCCTCTTGTATCGTTCAGACAGTGGAGGCAGATCCCAGGACACGACCTCAGCCAGGACCTGAAAAACATCCGAGTGCCCCTTGAGTACGTTCCCTTCTGATGGAAGCAGCATTGCTCCCGAAGCAATTTGTAACCCTTAGAACACATAACACGTGGTCCCTGTGCATACAGAGACCAAAACCTGCCCTTCTGAATTCAGTCAGAACCTGCCACACTATCTCCCACTTTGTTCATTACCCAATCGTTACAGTTCAGAGGCCATTCGATCCATTGGGCTGGTGCTGAGCCTCCCCTCGGGTGCAGTTCATATTCATATCCCACCCCACATCTGTGCACAGTCCTCGTCTGGGGATATTTGGAGTATTCAGAAACGTACAGACATTGCTACAACAGAAGGTGGCCCTTTTGCATCTATCCTCATCTGGACCCGAATAACGGGGCTTCAGCTTAATGCCATGTTCCAGCTCTTGGCCCATGGCCCAGGAGGTGATGGACCTTGAGATGTAGATCCAAAGTGGGAGGTGGTGGCCTAGTGGTAACTTTCACGGTAACCTCAGCCTTTGTGGGGATTGAACCCCTGCTGTTGGCATCGCAAAACGGCTGACCCGAGTAGGGTCGGGGAGCTCAGTTGGCCGGATTGGCTGCTTTGTGATGCCAATAGCGTGGTTTTAATTCCCACACCATCTGAGGTCACCATGAAAGACTCTCCTTCTTAACCTCTTCCCCTCACCTTCTGGTGAAACCATCACTTGGTTGTCTCTCTCTCTAGTGATTGAGGAGCCCTATGGTCCTCTGGGACTGTGGCGACCTTGCCCGTCCCCTGGTTGTGGTCACACTCACCTCCTCGTTGTCATGGAGAAGGTTGATGATTGGTTCGTGTGGAGAGAGCAGCGCTCCGTCAAGGGTTAGAGAGAGCCGGGGTCTCACACCACACTCGATACTGTATTTCCTTGCTGCTTCCTCTGCCAGCCACCTGATGGTGCATGTGTCCAACTCACTGAAACCAGAAACACAGAGCTCTTCAGCTGCGGTAGGCTCATCTGTCTTCCTCCAGCCCTAGTGCATAGGAGCAAATGACTGCAGATGCTGGAATGTGTGCTGAATTGCTGGAGATCACAGCAGGTCACACAGCAACCATGGAGTGAGCCAGCTAACCTTTTGAGTCTGAATGACTCTTCAACAGAGCTGAAGTGAAGTGTGGAGGGGGCAGCATTAATACAGTGGCTGGGTGAATGGGGGTGGGGGCTGGTTGTAGAGTGCTGGTGGAGAAAAGGTGTTGATAATGTGATAGTCAACATCTTTTGTCCACCAGCATCCTACACCCACTACTAGCAACGTCACCCTCCCTCCCACCCACTTCGCCAACCCTCCCACCCCCAAATTATAGCCTAATCATTACCACAGGAAGTAGTTGATGCCAAAACATTGAATGTATTCAAGAAGTGACTAGATATAGCACTTGGGGGTGAATGGGATCAAAGGTTATGGGGAGAAAGCAGGATCAGGCTGTTGACCCACTGTGACCCAGTATTAGTTATTTCCCCCAGCTTACTGTGGGGTGTGGGAACAGCTCGAAGGTCCCAGTACAGAGTCAGACCCAATCTCCTACCTTTGAGGGACCCCAATGACAAAGCGTTTCTTTTTCACTTTCACCTTCACTCGAAACGATGGGATCAGCAGTGGTGTGTACGGTACACGGGGCTGTGAACACAAGGAACAAGACTTATGGAGCCATCAGAGCACAGGAGGCGGCCAGGAACTTCATCCAGTCCCTGCTGACTCTCCGTAGAGAAATCCAGCTAGCACCCCCTCCTCCCCACAACCCTGCATTCCACCCCCACCGCCACCCCACCAAGTGCCCATCCAAATTCCTCTCAAAATCACTCACTGTCACTGCTCGCCCCCACCCTCAGCCTCCTCATGGTCAGTGAGTTCTTCCTCACACTTCCCTGCATCTTTGCTGAGATAGTCAGAAGTTTAGTTCAGGAAGGCGATGTAGGGTTATGGGGAAAAGGCAGGAAAGTGGAGTGAGGATTATCAGGTCAGCCATGATCTCAACAAATGGCAAAGCAGCCTTTTCTTGGGCTGAATGGCCCAATTCTGCTTCTACACCTTATGGTCTTTTGCCCTACAGATTGTTATCTGGAAATGAACAATCCAATTACCTCCTGTTTGCCCTGACTGAATCTGCCTCCAACAAACTAAGGAATGTTTTAATGAAGGGAAGAAAGTGGGAGAGGGTTAGGGAGGGAATTCTAAAGTTTGGGATTAGCAGCTGAGGCCACTGTCTCTGATGGTCGAGAGGTACTGAATGAAGAAGAGACCACACCCCACCCCCCAAGGTTCTGGGGAGCCAATGGCCTCGTGGCATTGTCACTGGATTGTTATTCCAGAGACCCAGCTCCGGGGGAAGTGGGTTCAAATCCCACCATGGCAGATGGTGGTATTTGAATTCAACTAAATTCTGGAATTAAGAGACTAATGATGACCATGAATCCATTGTCAAATGTCTGGAAAATCCATCTGGTTCACTAATGTCCTTCGGAGAAGGAAACTGCCATCCTTACTGAACCATAGAATCCCTATGTAATGGAAGCAGGCCATTTGGCCCATTGAGTGTACACTGACCCTCTGAAGACCATCTCACCCCTGTAACAGTATATTTCCCACAGCTAATCCACCTAACCTGCATATCTTTGGACTATGGGAAGAAACCGGAGCACCCGGAGGAAACCCACGCAGACACAGGGAGAATGTGCAAACTCCACACAGACAGTCGCCCAAGGGTGGAATTGAACGCGGGTCCCTGGTGCTGTGAGGCAGCAGTGGTAACCACTGAGCCACCACGCTGCTCCAATGTCCTGGTCTGGCCTACATGTGACTCTAGACCCACAGCAATGTGGTTGACTCTTAACTGCCCTCTGGGCAATTAGGGATGGGCAATGAATTCTGATGCACACAATCCTGCGAATGAATTAAAAACAAGGTTGTGAGGCAGATGGAGATTAAAGAGATGGGGGGAGGGCACAGAAACATTTCAAAACAGGGACGTGGATTTTAAAAATCGGGAACAAAACATATCTCTGACACCAAATCTGACAAAATGCAAAGCGGACTTTGTGGGCTACTGCCTCGAGATCTGTAAAGGACAATATTTCCTGAATCCTCTGTCAGAAATATTCCTGGGGGCATGTGGGTTTGTATGTTCCTACCTGCGATGTAGATGGACGCATCATCCTGAGGCTGCTTGGGATCTTGCTCGTTGTATTCTTCACAGATTGTGACAGGGATGACCATGTTCGAGTATCTGCTATCCTACCACCATGATGGTGAGCGTTATCCTGCCCAGGTCTCGGTGAGCTGTTCTGGGTGCCTCCCACCACCGGGGTACTCACTGGGTGTGCTGGTCGACTTGGAGCTTGTGATCTTGGGGTGTGGTCAACCTCCAGCCAAGCATCCTCCGAGCAGTTATCATCCAGCCGATCACTGGCCTTAGCTGGCAATTGTCTGACATTGGGAGCTGTGTTGTTGACCACAGACGATTCTGATTGGTCAACCAGCAGGCTAAGTGTTGTACTCTCTGAAGATTGGATGAATTTGGATGTAGACTTCTCCAAACCCACTGAGGATTGGGCACTGTTGGAAAAAGGTTTCTCTGACCTCTTTGTGGATTGGCCAGTTTTGGATGAGGGTTTCTTTGACC